GGGGGGGGGGGGGGGTAGGGAAGTAGCACGTAGAAATTTTTTCCCTCGTCAATATTAAAAATGGAATGTTATGTTCAAACATCGAGAGGGTCGTGTTAATATTTGACGATATATTAATAATCATTCAACATATTGTCTTTACGGGACTAAAGACTTCTCTATGTCCTAGATGCTTATAGAATATCCCTTAAATAATAAAGTGTGCTGTATGGATATTTTCAGTTAATTTATAAACATTATATAAATGTAAGAATTACAAGTGGCTTGAATTTGCACCATTGTTCTATAACTTTATTGAGCTGCTTCACATGTACAGACTGCTTTATCTCTATTGATATTTTAATGTATAGTATTAAGAAGGGAAAAAATTTTTTAATAAGAATATATATCTATGGTTAAAATTTTTTTGTTGGAGGATGTGATGATGATTAATGTAGTATGATAATAGTAAATAAAGTTAAAATATATAAACTATGAAATAGATAAATGATTAAATAAATAACTATAGGTATAGAATAAAGAGAATAAGAATAAAGGATGAAGAAGACAAAAAGAAATGAATATGTAGTAAAGGATATTAAGATATAGGAGAATAGGAGATAAGTGTACTCTAAACTATATTAGATAAGAAATGAGAAATGTTAGGTATTAGGTATATATGTTAGTACATAAAACCCTAAGGAATAAGGTACGGATGGATGAGTGTAATAAGAAAAAATTATAAACCCTCCTTAGCTAAATTGTATACTGAAGTGAATAAAATTCTATATATTCCTTTTTTTATTTATACAAAACTTATCCAGTAAATACTAACTACCAATAACATAATTGTTAGTTATAATTTTTCACTGAACAATATAACTGTTACTATCTATATTATATTATTAAGTAGGAAATTATAACACAGTATGTGTTATTGTTAAAGTCGGGTTATCTGAATAGAATATCACATTCTTTTAAATTTTATCTTCAAAATTTTTTTGTGTTTTAGGTAAGCCATGCAAACCAGGAAAATATCAAAAATACAAAATCTTCAGTGGTTGTACCAACGAAAGGAAAAAGAGCTGTATTAGGTGAAATAAGTAACAGAGTTAATACATTGAGAGGCGTCGAGCCTATTGATAGAAGTAGTTTATTACAAAGGAAGAAAGTAGTTGTACCGAAGCGGCAAGCTATAAAACCAAACGTAAATCCATCTGAGAAGCCACCAGTGCAAATCGTGAAACCAATTGTCAAACAAATTGCGAAAACAACATCATCTTCCAATGTAAATAATGCTCGCAATGTAGTCAATGTACCAGCTGTTGTTAGTCAAAAGAGAGAAGAGAGGAATTCATTTTCAACAGATCTATTAAAGTTTGAAGATATTGACGAGCAAGACAAGAATAATCCTATTCTAGTTTCTATCTATACTAATGACATACATGAATATTTAAGGACATTAGAGATTAAATTTACTATTAAGAAAGGATATCTAGCGGGCCAGGAAATCACCCCTAAGATGAGATGCGTGTTGGTAGATTGGTTAGTAGAAGTGCATCAACAGTTTCGATTGATGCAAGAGACATTGTATCTTACCATCGCAATTATCGATCGCTTCTTGCATACACACACACATACACATGTAAATGATTATATGTATATTTTGTTCTTACAGTTATTTCGAGCTATAGATAGGAAGAAGTTACAGCTGGTAGGTGTAACAGCTATGTTTATCGCTAGCAAGTACGAAGAAATGTATTCGCCAGATATAAGTGATTTTGTATATATCACGGACAAAGCATATTCAAAGGCAGATATATTGAATATGGAAATGCTTATTGTGAGAACTTTGGACTATTCGTTCGGGCGACCATTACCGTTACATTTTCTTCGAAGATATAGCAAAGCTGGAAAGGTGTATATATACGAACATTTATATTTTTATTATTCCATTTATGTTATTTATAACTAGCACTATAACTATATGAATAAATTTTTTAAGGCACTTCCTATCCATCACACGATGGCTAAGTATTTTCTAGAGGAAAGTTTGGTTTATTATGAAATGTGTCATTATCCACCTAGTCTCATCGCTGCAGCAGCAATATATCTAGCATTTTTGTAAGAAATTAAATCTATTCTATATGTTTATAATAAACATATTCTATACGTTTCTTCACATGTTATTAATAGAAATGTTTATTCATTAGACTTATTGGTAATGATGAAGAAGATGAGGGTAAAGTTATCTGGACAAGTACTCTTGCATACTACAGCACTTATTCCAAGGACGATGTGTTACCTGCAGTACGTGATATAGCTGCCATAATAATTAATGTAGGAGATAGTAAATATCAAGCTGTGAGGAAGAAGTACGTCCATGTGAAACACATGAAAATTAGTATTCGACCAGAACTTAAATCACCAATTATGTTCTCTATTGCAGCAAAAAGCAATGAGTCATAAATTTGTAATAAAACAATAGAATTTGTGAACTCACTATTCTGAGATGTTTTCAATAAGATGTTTGTTTTACATTAAATGTCATATCGACGAATATGATTATGGATATTATAGTTCATGGAAGATTGCATTGAAAAATAAATTCAGATAAATGAAGGATACTGTAAAGATTATCACAAAGTGATGAATACGCGCTAGACATTTAATACACAAATTTCTTATTGAAAAGTCTATTCTCATTTAGTCATATACGAAAACAAAAAGAGACGTATTTAAAGTTTTATATACAAACGTTTGTTACTATAAATATAAAAATTTAGTCAGGTAATACTGATGGACTTTATTTTGGACTGCCGTAGTAAAACTAATTATAGCGGAAAATCATAAAACGCATCTTTTATATTGAAATATTAAATAAAGCTTTTAGTTTTTATTCCTAGCCGATTATAATAATATTTTAATTTTGATATAAGTCCTACAAAGATACTTTTGATGTCAACATATGAAAATATGTGAGTATTCTAAGACATATTTCATTTTTTTCTTATACTTTTATATCTATATTTTCTCAAATGTTGTCTATCTCAAATAGTATAAAAGTTTAATTATCATTAAGTCTTTCGATTGTTGTTTTGGAATATAAATTGAATACAAGTTGTGTACGAAAGTGAGGAGTGAACATTTTTGGAGATGCCATACATCGCTTTAGGAAATTTTTATTAATATAGTGATAAAGAAATGTTCTTTAATTTTACATTTTATATTACTATATCCTATAATATGTATATAAGATAATTAATATATAGGTATTTTGCTGCGCGTGCCTGAAGCAACATAAAATTTTATATTGTTAAGCAATCCAAATTTTAACACTTCCAAATTTAAATGTTTAATATATGCATGACTCTATATACTTTAAGATCGAATATAAATGGCTATTATATTTAAGCCTTATTAATTGCAAAATTTAATTATAACATAATGATATAGATTAAATTACTAACTCTATATACACATACCTTTGTAAATAAAAAGCTAAATTACTATAATTTATCTGTATTACATTAATCTCTTATATTTATTATATGTGATAGTAAAACTTTTCTTACACTCGTACATTAAAGCGACATTCTTAAAATATTTATTTATTTTTGAAGTTTAAAAAATGTTTAGCACACGTGGTGGTACATCAGCCTCAGGTGGAAACATTATGTAGCGTTCTGAAAAATTGAAATATTATTAAAGATGAATGAATGATCAATCTATTAAGAATCCACTGTATTTTGTGAGTACTTACCCATTAATTTAATGGGTGCAATAATTTCTTGAAGTTGTGCTTGTGTATGAATTGCACTTTTTTCCTGCAAATAAATTAAAAAATGTAAAATGTAATATTTGGAAATCATTGGAATATTTTTTGCATATTAATGATAACTTACTATATCAGCTAAACTTGTAGGAGCTGATCTGTCCCAAATTTCAGATTTGCTGCTTTCCACTAACTCAAAAAACTCCTTTTCCTGAACTGAGATCTTTACTGCATTTTCATCAAATTTAAATCGTATTAGCACTTGCATCAGTTGGTACCATTCATCTGCACATAAAAATTGTTATTATAATTAATATTAAAAATAACGTGCATACATTTATTTTATTTTTTATATATTTGAAAAATGAAATTAATTATATTTTATAATTAATTAGAGTTAATGTATTCTCCGCGAACTTTATTCGATAATGTAGATAATAAGACGAATTTATTCTGCTTCTATGAACAAACCTCTATCTTTATATGCATTACTAGTAATTTGATAAAGGGCATGTATTAAGCTTAAATCTTCAAACATACTGCCTTCCTTTAAATTCAAAAGTTTTCTTGCTTGTTTTCTACGGTTTTTACTTGATCGATAGCTTTTACTGAAAAAAAATTTTATTTTATACATTTTTATGTACCACACAAAACATACATAAAAAACATATGGTATATAACTAATATATATGTATAGTATTATAGATGATTTTTAAAAATATACAAGTACCTGGAAGATATTGACAATTGTGACATTCGACTCGAAACAGAATCTACAATACTAATTGTATCACTAATAGAATCTGGAATTTCTTTATTAGATTCTGGTTCATCATCATAAATCTTTTCATGTAGTAATTGTGCTTGTTTTGCTTTCATTTCTGTTCTTACTACAGCAAGGCGTGATTTATGACTTAGAAAATCTGTCTTCATTTTACTCAATTGTGAAATCACGTGTTCTGCGTGTTCCTTTACTCCAGGTTTAATATGTGTTTCTATAAAAAAAAACCAGAGACTTACATTTTCCTTCTTGTCTCTTGACGAGACAAGACGATCTCTTCCACATATATCTTCAGATATATGGGATTTACAGTTTTAATACTAGCTTTGAACGGCTTGTTAGAAGATGTTTACATGGCAAAGATACTTTCGATAGTTTGCCATTAATTTCCGAAATTTAAATACATTATACACAATTAATATTAAATTTAAATACATTATACACAATTAATATTTAGTTTATTTAAATCTACTTAATATACTTAACCATTTCCTAACCATTCAGATCTAAACGTTGAGCATCAATCGTTATTCGTATTGCATGTTTCCAAATTCTTCCTTCACATAAAACTGCAACTGCTTCTTCGATGTCATTCAAATATTCTTTTAATATCACAACTGCATGTTCATACTTACGCCCTGCTTTCAAATGTTCAACTAATACCATATAACGTTCATGTAAGTCTACTGAGCTGAACAAATTAATTCTTATGTAATATAGACTAACATATAATATGATTAATGAAAATATGACATCCTTTCTTACATGTACATAAAAAAATTTTTTTACCTTAATTTCATTTCTTTTAATATTGTGATTACGTCCTCCCAATTATCATTTGACATGCTAAAGGCTTTTAAAGCTTTGTCAAGATCGCCACTTCTATAAAACATCATACCAGCTTCGGAATATTTCTGTTCACTTGATAAAAATTCTCCATAAATTGCAGCCACCTTTTTATGCTCTATAGTATTTTTCTTAAACAATTTCATTGCCATCTTATATAACTTTTGACTATGTATGAAATCTAAACATTCTTCAAACTTAACTGGCTCTTTAGATAAGAACTCTAATGCTGATTCATAACGTTTAAGATATACATTAATAGAATATTTCATGTAATTTGTGTTTAATTTTTTTAAATTGTTCAGGAACGGAATATATTCTTTGGGGTCTTTCGATGATTTAGACGCTATAAACATTGCAAGTTCAAAATCATACATGCCTAATGCAGTATCATATAACACATCAATATTTACAAAATGCAATAAATACTTTAGTGCTTCATAGGCAGATACGGAAGATTTGTGTAGCGTTAATTTTTGTGACTCCTCCAACGTTCTGACTTGCTTTATTTTACTAAGTGCATTTTCCAAACCCAGTCTTTGTTGATTTTTCACCAAACTTATCAATATTGGTTGTATTAAACTATCTGCATCGTGACGTTTCTCCATGACATCTCTTAATAATTTACAGATTTTATCTACCTTATTAATTGTTTTGTTATCATTATTTTCGTTACTTTTAGTGTTAGATTTGACAGCGTGATCTACGTAACAATTCGCATACATTGTACTGATGATATTTTCATCTTCTAATTCTGACAAAAACAGATTTAACCAATTCAGTTTTTTATATTGTACAATATCTTCCACAAATTTTTCCACATTATCTATAAATAATTGTGGATTGTGATCGTATATTAAGTTCAAGTTTATACGTTGTTTAGTCATAATATCAAGCGCCGCCAAATAATTACAGTTATTGAGATGACATTTTAGTATATGTAATGATAATGCCCTTGGCTGTATACATTCTAGATTTCCTCTAGGCATTTGCAAAATTAATTTTGAATCTTGTGGTATCGCTGTTATTATATAAGAATCTTTTTCGAGTCGTCTTATATAGATATCTGTAAAAATACATTTAAAATCAGAAAAGTGCAATGATGGATACAAAATAAAAGAGATTACAAAATATGTATTCACCTGTAAGTGACACCTTAGTATTTAACCAAGGTTTAACAGTTAAATCGTATTCACTTAGTTGCTTTAAGCCAACTTCGTTTAATGGCACACAAATCAATGTATGTTGTAGTGTTGTGAGAATCACAAAATCAGAATGTACATAAAAACTTGTAATATTCTTAGCAATTTCCTTTCCATCAATCAAAAAACTATTTTCCAGAGACAGGGCAAGAATAACGTCGTTAGAATTGATTTTTACAATTTCCATTTGAGCACATAATTTACTTAATGTTATATTTGTTTGTTCAAATTTTCCATCCCGTGTGTATTTAAATATTTGCTCCTTTGCTTTTATGTAAGCTGTATTTGCATCAGAAGAAGAAATTATATGTTCTATTGGATAATCCAAAGCGTGAATTTTCCTGTAAAAAGAAAAATTTATAGTTCAGATAAATAATATTTTACAAACTTTATATTTAGGAAACCACATACTGTATTGTCAGAGAATCCTTTGAATTTGCTTTTTCTAAAGATAAAATACACAAAAAATTACGATTGTTTGTAACTGTACAAAACAATATAATGTCTTCTGTAAACCATAAGAAATTATTCGTACAATAATGGAGGTCTTTAATTTTTAATGCTTCATATTTCATATCGTATAATATGCCAAAATCAATACTATACGAATTTACAACTTCATATGTCAGTGTGGAGGATTCCTGTAATAACATAAAATAAATTACATAATGCAACGATAAATAAATTCTGTACAATACATCATAATTTTTTGTTAAGACAAATTACCTTTGTCTGCTTGAAAAATGTTAACTTATCATTATATGAAACAGTACAGAATTCGTTGCTGTTTATTAAAGATGATTTGTTATTAATTGCTGGTGCAAAAACAATTGCATTTTGTGGTTCAGGAATTTGCAAATATTGGTGCGCCATTGGCGGTGGAATTATTCCATCTTTAAAACCAGTAACTAAAATATTGTTTCCATCGATAACACCAATCACAACTTTATCATCCACAGTATTACCCCTGCTATGATTCACACACCAATTAAATGAACAGAAAGTAAGTTCTTTTGTCGTTAAGTAAATCAATTCCTTTTCATCAAATTGATTTATTCTATCGTCCCATGTTACATATAGCAGTGGATTCTTCTCAGTAAAGACAAGAGTTTGTTTAAGATACCAATGACAATTATTTTCAGTCCACAATTGTATCAGCGTAGTATTCGTTTCTGATTGATAACAAACAACAGCTAAAATATCTGAACATGGTGACCAAAGCAGATCTTTTACCTGCAAGATACCTGTTTAATAAAATTTATTTTGTTTGCAAGGTAATCTTTAAAAATCGCATATTTCAATATTTAATATACCTTTGCTTCTTGTGGTTTAAATGGAAGCAACAATTCCGAGTATTTAAGGCCATTCTTCTCAAAAAAAGCAACAACATATTTCTCGTTCAGTATTTGGGGTACAGCAATTGGACGTCCAACTGGACCCCAAGCTATACATTCCTCCAATCCATTGACTTGTTCACTAGTGTAGCATAACATACCCTCTCTGTTGAATATTTTAAATCTTCGAACTTTTGTTTCCTTGTGTAGAAAACTAACAGCGAAAAAAGTACCATCATCACGCCAAGTGATTTGCATACGACCATCATCATGCTCATTCAGAATCATGTGTACCGGTTTAGCTTGAGCCGCTGCTTTACCCACTGACCCATGAAACTGAGTTTCCTTTTTACCCCATCCAACAGTCACAAATTCATTCTGTCCAAATACTTCTGAATATAAATCCACCTGTAATTATAATTTAATTTCACATATATTATATATTTGTATATTATTTTATTATATTTAATTTACAATATTTATTACTAGTAAAAAATTATATTAGTCATAAAAAAATATAAACTGGAAGGTAGAACTTAACACTTTACCTTTTATCTATGGCAAAAAGAAAAATAAGGGAAATGCATTATGCACTATTATGAATGTGATAATAAAAAGTAGAAACACTAGAAACGATTGGACAAGAGACAAGGAAAAAACTGAAGTAAGAAAGAAGTATATTATAATGAAAAATAAAAAGATGTTTTAAAAAAAAGAAAAGAATCGAAATTTAGAGAAAATGGAAAAGGGAAAGAAAAATAAGAAAAAAATGAGTATACTTTAAGTTATAGATTATCCTTAACCGCTGGATAGCATACAATTTTTTGTACATTTCCCTTTCACTTTTTTTTTTATAATTCTTTCCTTTAGCCAAGAAAGGCTCATAAAAGACATAATGGAATAATATGACATAAAATAAGTAGATCTACCTGAAGCTCAGTAATGGATCATAAAACAAATAGATCCACCCGAATAATGAGCAAAGTGTTAATATTCCCTTTTTCATTTTTCTTACTCTGTAGTCTCTTATCAGAGACATGATGACCTCTTCTGCATATATTCATAGATATATAGGACCTACATACAGTTTAACGCCAGTTTCGAACAGCCTATTAGAAGAGGTCTTTACGGCAAAACATACTTTTGATAGCTTGTCTTACAAGAGGTAATAAATATAACTTTATATGTTTTGGATGAATTTACACTCAAAACTCTTTGCCACAGAGAACAAACGTCTAATTCTTTACGTCACCATAAGCTATGTTCAATTATCATAAAACTATATTCAGAAAACAACAGTTGAGTAAATATCATCTGGTATATTTTTTTTAAATTTATCACTAATTTGGGGATCTACTTCAATTATAGCCTATAATTACTAAGCACTCATTCAACTATTGTTTTTTTAATATAGTTTAGACATAAACAAATCATAATACTAAGTCACTTTTTCGAAGACTAAGAAACCATATTCAGAACACAGTTACAACGATGTTAGCGCTTTAACATGCTATAGTTCATGTTATGCATGCTATAGAATTTCAGAGATAAAAGCGCGCTTTTATCAATAAAACCGTGTTCTGAATACAGATCAGAGCCTCCAAATAATAAATCAGCATTAAAAATAAAACACACACTCTCTCTCTCTCTCTCTCTCCCCCTCCCCCTCTCTCTTACTCCCTGTACAATTAAAATTATAGACAAGCAACTTATAAATATTTTTTATAAAAATTACAAATGTAATAAAAAGAGAAAAATCTACATAGGATAGATTGTTTCAAGGAGTTCAAAACTTTTCTTAAACTACAGGTACATCAAAAAGACAAATAAAAGATAAACATATGATAAAAGTTGCAAATAAAACCCAACAAGTTTTTGAAATCAAATAATATTACCTCTGACATTACTTGAAAGTTTAATACCATAGTGATCACAACTCCTGCGACTGTTACAGCAGCAATGATTTCATGATCTGGACTAAATTTCATGCACTGTAAGTTGATGTCAGGCAGTACCATCTCGTAATTAATTTCATTTTCATCTGTCATATCAATTTTGACAAGGCAACCTGATTCATAGGCACAATATAATTCCTGCAGGACAACACAATACTCCATTGCGACTATTTTGGATAAAGAATACTCAGGATTGTCTATGTCAATAAATTTCCTTTCGCTTGATAACAAGTAGAGATGTCCATCCAACAGCACATATATATCATTGTAACTTGGATCGGTAGCACATTGTATGCGTTTCAAGAGTTCTTGATCCATTTCTATATTTTTCATAAATTTGAGATTTCTACTGTTTACTTGACGAATCGTTAAATTTCTCATGGTTCCTTATCAATAGTGTGTAACACATTTAATTCAATCTCTTTTCTTCTTCTTTTATTATGTTTTCCAATGTGATTTCGATATAATCTGTTACATCAACGGAAAGAATGTGTGAGACAATTAAACATTTTATGTTAATACAAATATTTGTTAAAAGTGATTATGAAAGACAGTCTCACGTGTTATGAGAGGGAAGGTTAGGTATGTTCTTTTTGAAAGTACAGTGCAGGCTGTGCAGGAACTTTTTGTACTTAATAGGTCTGTTCGCGTTGCTTGCACTTTTTGCACTTACCATCTTCGCTTTCTTTCTTTTTAAAGCCGAATATACATCTATCTCACTTTAAGTGCAAAATTATTTGGGAATTTCATGCAACGCGAACAGACCTAATGTCGTCACAGTGCACGCGGTACAGAGGCTGTGTTCCAAAATTGTTTGCCAGCGCTGGCAGCACTGTCAACACCGTTCCAAAAACCATCGTAGCACGCTGTGGCAGTGCTGCGAGAGAGCAAAGACGTCACTAATTTTGTCTGTGTTCCAAAATTGATTGCCAGTGCTGCGTGTATGTCGTCATAAGTGCATGCTACCAATAGCGTTCCAATTTTAGTAAGCATGCTTTTCATGCAAACGCAGCTTTCATTTTGGAACGATATTTTCAGTGCTGTTAGCGTATAGCGACGTCAGCGAAATAACCTAAGTATGGAGAAAACTTTACAGAAAAAATTCTTATTTGAAACTGTTATAAAGTTAGCACTTGATTCTAGTGATGAAGAGTCTAGTGGATTCAGATTTAGAATTAGCAGAAATGATACATAATTATTATGAACGTCAACCAAGAATACCGAAGGTACATTGTAAAAATTATGTCGAAGATGTTGTTTGGCAATATACCGATGCTGATTTTATTTTAAAAGTCATTTTCGGTAAGTTATTTAATTATATTAATA